TACATACGCGTACACACACATACATATAAGTTATGTTTCGAGTCCGAGTTTCTTCTTTTTTAAAAACAACTTTATTTAAAAATAGATACAAATTCAACGATATGCCCTCGGTGAATTGTTTAAGTATCAAAAGAAGCTCAAAGACTGGTTTTACATTTTTCCCTGGCTCGCTTATCGCCTCGGGTTAAGAGGGAGACAAATGCAGTTGTGCTTAGTTAGCGTAAGACAAGCTTGCATTTGTCTGTACAAATAAACACGTAGTTATTATTAGTTATAATATATAACTTATATATATACATACACACACATACAGCTATTGCAGCGAAATAATATAATTTATATAATATATAAATACACAATTCTACACATATTCACATATATATACAAATTAAACCTACATATGTACAAACGTGCATGTACATAAAAATACCTATTCACATATAGACACACTAATATACATCTGTATATATTTACATAATATAATTTAATTTTGAGTATTCATTCTGCAGATTATTATTTATATTTAATAATTGATATTGGAACATTGTCTTTACATTTATTGTTTAATTTTTTCCTAATTCAAACCGCGATGTTACTAGCTTGGAAAAATGAATATATAGCCTTGTAAATACTTTCTCTATCTTGCGCTAATAGTGATTTCCAATTGTACGGTTTCAGAACTTCTTGCATGGTTCCATCTTTTTGAACAGAGCTTCCCGTTGATATTCATACTTTGCACACGTGAAGACAATATGGTCGAAATCTTCTACCGTATCACAAGTGGGACAGTTAGGGGAGGGTCTGAGATCTTATGGAGATACTGACCACAAATGCCATGATTCGTTCGTAACCTGGTAATAGTAGAAAAATACTTTTCGCTACCATCTGTACTATGGATGAACCAGGGCTTATGCCTAAGTATGGGAAACGTAGACCTATAATAATTACCTGTTCGGGCACAGTCGAAGCTCTCTTGTCATCTGTTCCTATTTCTAATTAAAAACTTATTATAAGCGTCATTTATAGGTAGCTTTATATCTAGTAAAGTGCCCACTTAGCTAGTGCATCAACTATTTTATTGGGTACCACCCTTGAATGACCCTTAACCCAGCATATTACAATTTCTTTATTCATATTTTTAAGGTCGAATAAACATTGGATAATATTGGCAAAAATGTATTCCGTTTTAAAATTCACACTAAAGCTCTGGATTTGATTAACATAACTTAGATTGTCTGTTAAGATGCATATTTTTTGTGAATCCACAGATTTACAGTGCTCTAGTGCTCTGTGGAGAGCGACTCCTTCAGCGGTATAAATGCTGCAAGAATCAGGCAGAAAAAATATCTACTTGTGCTCACTAAAGGTGTCATGAAAAGCACAACCCGTTTTTCCATCTAATACCGATCCATCAGTATAAATGAGTCGATGATCAGGAAATAAATCCTTTTTCATCAGCTTGAAACATATATTGTGCCAGATAGGCCGGAAAGTGGGAATAGTCGTTGAGAATGCAGCAATTCGATTTATTTAAGATAGCCTCGTTATCCATGTCATACAATGGCATAGTTTTATTGGAATAAAGTCTGTATATGCTTGGGGCTAACTCGAGAAAGATATCAACTAGGAGTGGAGTCCTCTTCCTTTGCCAGTATCTGACAGTGAGAACTTTCTGAGATAAAAAAACACAGTTTGTCGCAGGACGGGCTTGCTTTACCGAAGAACTTGTATAAACACTTTGCAGCAAGTTTTTCCCTTCTAAAATTTAGGGGAGGTTCGCAAGATTCTGAAGACAATGCAGAGATAGGAGTGCTGGGGAGACCCTAATATTCTACGTAGGCATTTATTACGCAAAACATCTAATCGTTTCAACTGTGAGTTGAAAGCCTTCGAATAAAAAATGGAGCCAAAATCAATTATAGATCTGATTGTAGAACGATAAAAGTGCATGCCCACAAAGGGGTCTGCTACCCTTTTACTATTTGTGAAACTGCATAAAACATTGAACATTTTTTCCGCTTTAATCAACAGCTTCGTGATATGAGATTTCCACGAGAGCTTAGAGTCTAAGTTAAAGCCGAAAAATTTTATCTCCTTAACCACAGAAAAAGAAATTGTTCCAATGACCTCCGTGTGTCCAAGTCTGATTTGTCTTTTCCTCGTGAAAGGACAGAGTACCGTCTTAGTAATTTGATTTGAAGGACTTGCGTTTAAAATTGTTCTCAACATCGCGATAGAAATGTAATTTGTCAGTAAGAGATAAATTCCTTTTTTCCACTAAATTCACTTGAATTCGACGAGCTTACCTTATTAGAATACTGATCTCGATATCAGTTTTGTCCAAATATGAATTATACATTTCAAAATATTATATAAGGAGTTGGCCGTCTGTGTGACGTGAAAAAGCTCCCTGAGCGAGTTTGGACCCAAATTTCTACAAAATTTGATTTTTTCCAAGCTTGTAAATTTTTAGCGCCACCTACAACCTGTCCAATTGTTCTTGTAATTTGGGTGCAAGTTATATGTACCCTCAAATTAATCAACAGTTCATTTTGAATTAAAATAATGTACACTCAATTTTCAGCCGTTTATAGAATGTGAACCTACCCTATGACCATGTTCGCCAAAGGTTCTTCCCGATGAATTATTAATGATATACGATTAAATATGATAGTTGGTTCTTTCAGAGAACTACATCTAAGAAAAGACTGAAGTCGCAACGGTACTTTTCAAAAAGATTCAACTTACTCTGAAATCAAAAAAGTTTCTTTTTTAACCATCTCAATCGCAAGAACTCTAAAAAGTCTGCAGGCTGGAAGGACTAAGCTTTCCGAACACAAACTTGAAATGGACTCTCAACGTGAATACTAAAAAGTACATAGGTCCCTAAATAAAGCAATTTCAGAGCAATGGTTAGAAGAGAAAATAGTTTAAAAATATTTTAATTAAAAAAACATTTAATTTAAAAAAATTCCTCGTTATTGAATTTTATAATATCCTACTATAGAATAACACGTAAACAGACTATAATATGGCCTGGCTTTGCTCAGTCATTGTGACCAGTTAGTGAGATAATAAATCCAGTAGTTCCGGAGATTAGGCAGAGAATGAGGCCTAGAGAGCGCGATCCTTTCCCCTTTGAACCAAATTTGTCGGTTTATGGTCCTAGCAAAGCTTAAACCTTTGAAAATCGTCGAGTTTCAACAATCAACACACTTAATAAGTAATAAGAGAATAGTAAACATACGTGTGTAAAATATAATAAAATTAATAAAATACGATTTATAACATACGGCACAAAATTGTTTGATTAGGATGATTATTATATAGGAATGAATTTCTAAAACTAAATTATTTGTGACTAGTTGTCAAAGATGTTTTTTATACATGAAATAATTATTTGGAGATCGTGTGGTGCGGTCTGGTGTGACGTAGGTTTTAGAAAAACATTTTCTTTGTCGTGCCAGCGTTTCAATCTTTTCAATTAATTAAGGGTTTTGGTTGAGGTAAAAAAGTCAGTGTCACAAGCGGGATTCGAACCCACGACCTTCGGCTCAATACGCCGCTGCTCTACCACTTGAGCTATCGTGACTTCGATCCACTCGGACACCAACTTCCCATCTCAACCCCACCTTTTTAATTTTCCCTCCTTTTTGCCATTTTTCAAATATCGTGTAGTCTATTTGATTCTCGGCGACAAATAAAATGGCCACGGAGAGCTTAGTGAAGTGTACTTCATTTTGCTTATTACATTTTATTAGGTTTCGTGGTCCGCTTGACCAAATAAATTCTTTTCAATTAATTAAGGCTTTGGTTGAGATGGGAAGTTAGTGTCCGAGTGGATCGAAGTCACGATAGCTCAAGTGGTAGAGCAGCGGCGTATTGAGCCGAAGGTCGTGGGTTCGAATCCCCTTGTGACACTGACTTTTTTATCTCACCCAAAACCTTAATTAATGGAAAAGATCAAAACGTTGGCATGATAAAGAAAATGTTTTTCTAAAACCTACGTCACACCAGATTGCACCACACGATCTCCAAATAATTATTTCATGTATAAAAAGCATCTTTGATAACTAGTCACAAATCATTTACTTGAGTTTTAGAAATTCAATCCTATTTAATAATCATACTAATCAACAATTTTGTCCCGTTTGTAATAAATCGTATTTTATTATGTATTGAACGTATTGAAAAGTATTCATTTGGTCATGCGCACCACGAAACCTAACAAAATGTTTCGATCTTTATTGAGATCATCTTCAGGGCACCAAGTGTTCATTTTCCATGTAGATGTGCCATTCTTGTGTGTCGTGTTGAAAGTGCCAGTGAGAATATCTCTCAACACGACACACAAGAATGACACATCTACACGGAAAATGAACACTTGATGCCCTGAAGATGATCTCAATAAAGATCAAAACGTTGGTACGATAAAGAAAACGTTTTTCTAAAACCTACTTTACACCAGACCGCATCTTACGATCTCCAAATAATCATTGGCTGTCGGTCATACATAAATGAAAAGTTCAACTCTGACAAAGAAAAATATTTCTTTTTGATGATGTACGAATACATAATTTGAAATTTAGTAGTTTCTGATTTTGGTCTGCAAATCTTGGCTATGTTGGTTGACAGGTGCGTTTCAGCATTTCACCAATAAACCAGATATTTTACTATTCGCACTTGTTGTTTTTGTCAAACTCATGTTCAACATTCACATTTTTCCACAGTAAAATATAACGATTCTATTTTCTGAAATTGCAAGGATGATGAGCTCAAAAATCATTTTTTTCTTTTATATTCCTTTTATTTGTCCGCAAAGCTCCCAAATGCCATGAAGAAGGACGCCGGTGGCCCCGAAATGCATATCGGACAAATAAAATAGAAAAGGAAAAGGTCGTTGAGTTCATTATCCTCGCCATTTCCAGAAAATAAAAAAGATAAACAACTAAATAAAAAGGAAAGAAGAAAACATTATAACGATTCTTTCCCCACTCTAGATATTTACCGTCAGATGTTGAGTGATAAAAAGTACGGACTGTCCGTCAACGTAATGGCCACCAGGGTAATGCCTTCCCTTCTTCCGCAGACCGTCAATCCCGCTTTGAATCTCGAGCAGTTCACAGTTCTTTTAGAAGTTCTCCAAGAGATGCTCGAACACATAGACAGGTATTTAAAAACCAAAACCCAATTATAAATTGACCTTTTTACGATTTTTCTTTTTTTTTAAGAAACCAAAGGAATAAACTTAAGCTGGATAACATGTCGCTTCCGAGCCCCGAAAGGCACAGGCCTTTGAGGCACTTGTACAGCTCCGACAATATGCACGTACCACCGTTCAACATACCGAACTTGAGGATCGAGCAAAGGAAGACCTCGTCTGCAGAAGACATGGCAAGGAAGAACAGTACAGGTGAGAGGAAACGTCTCATCCTCAATCTCCAAGGATACGTAAACGCGGCATACGTAAATCGACCTTCGAAGATAGTCTTGTTCTTATTGCATTAAAAAAATATTAAAATTTATTCAGGAAGGTTTTAATAAAGGTAAATTATTTTCGGGAAAAAAATTTGAGGCAAGCTACGGACGAGGTCGCAAAATATTAATCAGGTGTGCGAGTGTAAGAATAATAAACAGCGTTCATGCCAATTGACACTAGGAGCCAAAAAATAAATTATTTAATTAATTTTTTTAAATGTAATCTTTTTTCTTTGTTTTAAATTTATTTAAAGGTAATTATACATCAGCCAATTTTTTTTTTAATTTAAGATAATAAAATAAAATACAAGATCGTATTAAATGAGCTTAGATATAGAAAAAGTTAAATCAAAGGAAGCCTTGAGTAAAATAGGAAAAAAATGGTTTTGAAAACATTAGACGGTTGTAACCACGTTGTAAAATCATTAAATACAAATTTCACTTGTAAACTAAAAATATATATTATTGGTGGGATTCCCTGGGATAATTTTTTTTATCACGCTGATGATTCGGGATCCAGTTAAAAATCCAACCGTCTCTGGATTTTTGCCAAATTCAATACATAACAATAATTCAATTCAACAATAATTGAATAATACATAACAAAATCATAGGTATTTAGAAAATTTGAGAAAAAAAGTGTTACAAAAAATTTGTTTTAAGAGAATTTTAGAGGTGCAAAAAACGAATATCAATTATAAATATATAATGTGTTTTTTTGTTAAAAATAGTAATTGATATATTTTTTAGCTGCCAACCAAAGATAATGTTCATGTTTTTGCCCCCCTCAAAAAATGTCTGTTTTTAGGGAAATTTTTTCTCTCACACTTATCGCCTTCCATGCCTTAATTTTGTTCGAAAATTACGAAAATGATTACAAGTTAACGATATAACCGATCGACAGGATACTTTTTACACCTTTAGAACTGAAAATGTTACTGCATAATGTCGCCTGCATAAATAATTTAGAACGAAGTGAAAAACTGAAATATTTGTGAAATTTTTGATAATGTCTGTCTTATTTATATCACCAATGCCATAAAACCAAAAAATATTGGCATATCCCGAAAGAAAAAAATGTTTACAACAGTTGAAATCATTCGAATTTGGATAAAACCCAGTGGTGTTTTTGTTGTACATTTTTTAAACGAATATAAGACAAGGGAAAATAATGATCCACTAGTACAAATTGGTCCGAAGCTTCCTTAATGGATAAATCACTGGCCCACAAAGAATTTGTACGACATCTATTGGCATATATGGTTACTGTAAAGATTCATATTTGATGGTTTTATAAAGCTTATAACGAATCGGAATCGTTGGTGGATTTTCAAAAAAAAATTTTTTTGTTAACTTCACTCGTAGCTTTTTGATTACAACTTTTCATAACCTCAATGAATACAATCTTGTACATTAGATTCTTATTCTATGTAAAAATACAAAACTAATTGTGCATTAAAACTTTAAAATACATTCACAACAAAAGAAGTAGATAAATTACCCAGAGAAGTTAAGCATTTTTAAGTGAAACACCGGGATTCCGGGACAAAAAATTGTCCCGGGATAATCCAGTCCAAATAATATTTTTGTTTGATTTGAAAATTTGGATTTGATTCAGTAGTTTTTGTGTTCCGCTTGACCAATTAATATCTTTCAATTAATTAAGGTTTTTAGTTGAGATGGTTAGGGATAAAAAAGTCAGTGTCACGAGCGGGATTCGAACCCACGATCTTCGGCTAGATAAGCCGCTGCTGTACCACTTGAGCTATCGTGACTTCGATCCACTTGGGCACTAACATCTCAATCTCACCTTTAGAAATTTCCCTCCTTTTTGCAATTTTTCAAATGTCGTGTAATCTATTTAATTCTTTATATACTTTTTATATTTTATTTATCTAATTAATACACTTCATTTTTACTTATCAAATTCACTAGTTTTTGTGGTCCGCATGACCAATTAATATCTTTCAATTAATTAAAAATGGCAAAAAGGAGGGAAAATTAAAAAGGTGGACTTGAGATGGGAAGTTGGTGTCCGAGTTGATCGAGGTCACGATAGCTCAAGTGGTAGAGCAGCGGCGTATTTAGCGGAAGATCGTGGGTTTGAATCGCGCTAGTGACACTGACTTTATTATCTCAACTAAAAACCTTAATTAATTGATTAGTATTTGAATTGAATTAATATTTGTTTTAGAGTGCTTAAAACGAATCTTTTTGTAATGGGCTATTTAACTTTTTAACCCAGGAAAAGTGATATATCATATGCGATGCATATTCTTTTTTTTTGGGGGGAAGACGGTTGCGAAATGGGGCCATGTTGGGAATCGAACCCACGAACGTGGGGGTCCAAATCCAAGGGTTTATCACGCTGACCTCTCGGCTTCCACGGTTCACAAATTTTATTTTTTTGTTTAACATTTTTACTACTTTACTTGAGGAGTGTAATTTTTATAAGTTTAATATTAGTTAATCCTCAATATTATTTTATTTATTTATTTTTATAAAAGTCTAAATCTACTGATAGATAATAACTTTGAACTACATGCACAAAAAAGGCAGAAAATCGCATTTTAAAAATTATATAAAATATTTTTGGTCGGTTCTTTGGTACGAACGCTTGGACATACACCTAATATTTTTCGACCTGTTATCGCTAAAAAAAAGTTTCGTTAAAATTTATGATTCCACGTCCGTAGACTCCCCTTGTAAGTATGATTCTGCAACATGTAAATCAATTTTTTGGCAAAGTGGTAATTTGCAGCATGCTCTTTTATTTTTAAAATAGGCTGCTTTAGACATAGCAATTTTAGAGTTTATTTTAAAAAAATGGCTTGTAGTAATGTTGCAGAGCATATTGAAGTAAGCACATCCCTATGGATTCAGTGTGCTCTTTCTGTATTTTGTTCCGCCTGAATAAATATTTAACCAATTTGTTCATTAAAGTAAGTAAATATTTCAATGGAGATTAAGGATATTCATTTTAATAATCAATACATTAATAAATATTAAGCTTGGCTTTAATTTTTACTCATTCACAGGACTAATTGAATAATTATTACATTTAGCAATAAATGACAATAAGATGTTCATGTTCAAATGGATATTAATAAAATAGCAAAGCGCCTCTTAGTAAATCAATGTGATATATATGTAGGGAATTAAAGGTCTCCCACAAATAAAAAGATAAAGATTTAAAGTTTATTGGTAAAGAACACATAAACAAAAGTAAAAGGATAACTAGTTAACATTAAAATACATTAGCGTAAAAAGAAACGTGTTCGTAGGACCGCGTGGTGGTAACGACTAAAACTGTCAGCTGGGGTCCAGATAGAGGGGAGAGACAGAGTTCCCGCCATGTAGGGCCTCCGTTGACGTAGTGGCGGTGAACATCCTACATATATGTATGTTTAGGTGTCTGCCATGTTGCCGAATGATTGTTTTATTTGTTTTGTTCATGTATATGTGTCAACCTTTATGTGTTTAAATTTAAACGACCCAGTAGTATAGAACCAAACTACACACCAGCACAAACCAAATTTGGCACCCTTACATTGAAACAAATATGTTAAAAAGCACATAAATGTTTATGGATTCAAACTGAAACAATACAAATATGACAGACATGAAAACGGACTAATTGAAGAATCCTATTACACCTTAGTTGATGTTGGTCCTCAATGTTTAATTGTCTTTTGTGTTCCATGTTGATGTGTTAATGTTTTTGACGGTTGGGGAAACATCGACATGGGCTCCCAAATCTACGATAATCACAACAATGTATTTTCTCAAAAGTAAAAAAATTAAGAAATGTTTTGAAAATACGTTTTTGTTAACAAACTTCCTCCGAATGCGATGAAATAAAAATTAAAAATGAAAAGAAAAAACATATTTTATATTCCATTATTTTTAGTATTCTATTGACCAAATTACTTCTTTCAATTAATTAATCTTTTTATGTAAGATTTTGGTCGAAATGAAAACGCTAGTGCCACGAGCGGGATTCGAACCCACGACCTTCGGGTAAATACGCCGCTACTCTATCACTTGAGCTATTGTGACTTCGATTCACTCGAACACAAACTCCCCTTCTCCATCTACAACCTTTCGAATTTGAAAAATGGCAAAAAGGAAGGAAAATTCGAAATGTTGTAGGTTGAGATGGCGAGTTGGAGTCCGAGTGGATCGAAGTCACGATAGCTCAAGTGGTAGAGTAGCGGCGAATTTAGCGGAAGGTCGTGGGTTCGAATCCCGCTCGTGACACTGACTTTTTCATTTCAACAAAAACCTTACATAAAAAGATATTTTGTACTTTAATCACGACGTAATGAGTCATTAACAACGATTAAGATTCAGTAATCATTCAGTTAGACCAGTCAAAAGTACGCTGACTATATCTTGCTTCAATGACAGTTTCTGTAGCTGACAGAAAAAAAATTGTATTCTTCTTCTTCGGGATCACTTGGGTCCAAAGTCACCCTGTCATCCACCTAGACCTAAATTCTCACAACCCCTTTCTACTAAATGACGGCACTTTTCATTTCAGACAAACAAACTTTTTCTGAGGCCTGGTTTTATTACATTTTTTCATAAGACCTCAATTCATTTCTACATCCTCTAGATTTTACCACTAATAGAGGACATAACGAAAAGCAATACAAATCAACAAAATATTGTAATAAAAACTCGTTTATCTTAACACTGAAATTGGATATGCCCTCCCTAACTCTGCACTAACCCTAACCTCGGGCTAATAAATCTAACCTCTATAAATCTAACCTTTACGTAACTCTAACCTAACCCTAAAGTAACACTAGCAATCCTAACCTCTCCTAACCTAACCTTAACTTAACTCTAACCCTACTCTAACGCTAGCAATCCTAACCCAACCCTTATTTCATTCTAACCCGACCATAACCTTAACACTAAACCAACCCCAACCTAACACCAACAATCCTAATCTCTCCTAATCTAACCTTACTCTAACCCTACCCTAACGCTTGCAATCCTAACCTAACCCTTATTTCATTCTAACCGAATCATAACCTTATCACTAAACTAACCCCAACCTAACAATCCTAACTTCACCTAACCTAACCTCCTAACATAACTTGAAACCTAACTTAATTCTAACCTAATTATTCCTAATCTAACCCAACCCACGTGCACTCCTACATAACACGAAATTGATATTTATCCAGACAAAAACTTTATACTTCGAGTTCCAAATCATATCCATGTCAAAATTTAAATTTATTAAGGAACATGATCTCTGAAGTACAAAAATATTTTAAACATTGCATACATGTGAAATCACTCATACTTATTTCTTTATATTATATTTTGATCACAATTGACTTATTCACTGTGTTATATACAATTAAAATAACTAGGAATGATATAGTAATTTTTAAAAAATCACAACTTATATGTTTCTTGTAAGATTCACTTAGTAAGTAAATAATATTTGGGAGCCCTGGAATATTTGGGGAGCTCTCCAACGCCAGCCGTCAAGAACGAGTCATATTATCCGAGGTATGGCTTCTTTCAGACTCGGGTGTGCTAGGTGGTTGGTGGTTTGGGGGTTCGCCTTCTTCGCCTGACACCAACTTCCTGAGAGTGGTGAACGCCTTCCCGAATAGAAGGCTTTCAGACAACACGCTCATGACACCGAAGATAAGGATAGCACCTTCGTGTGCCAGCTCGCCGGGCGGCACTCCTGGAGGGACTCCGGGCTCAGGACTTCCTATTAGGCGGCATTCGAGCATTTGCCCGCAGGAGAGACGAGGATCGACTATCAACCTGTCGCCACCGACGGTATGAATCAAATATGTTAAAGAAGCAAATATCTAGTTAAATTCGGAGTTTGTTTTCCTCTTGCTTCAAGTATTTTAAGCAAAAATAATTAAGCTAAACTTGTGAATAAACAAAACAATAACTAAATTAAATAAAATTGGAAATGTTAAGTAATGTTTAAGACAGCACAAAGTTTCAGTATTTTATAAAACAACGTCAGTTTATAAACTTCAAAATTTAACATGATATTTGCAACAATACTTCATTAAAATAATTTAACAAAAGATAACTTCCAGAAATTATTTAACAATAATAGTCTACACAAACAATTTTAAATATGCCTGTAACACTTCATTTTTACCACAGATAAAATTGTGCACATCTATTCCATTGTTGTTACTTTTGTAAGACGGGCAAACCCCATTGAGACTCTATGAACATAAAGCAGACGATTATGCATCAGAATATTTATTCCTGTCTTTTTATTTTGGCTCACTACCCAGTCTTTTTTGGTCTCATTTATGTCTCATTTTCATTATTTTATAATACTACTTTGTGGTTTATAGCGTTTTCTGTTTAAATAAAAATTTCCACTGACTCTAAAAACAGCCAACAAAATATTTCTAAATTCTATGAATTAATAGATTAGATTTGTGTCACTTCAGGTATTAGACATAATATAAGCTGTTGTTTATATACTGTAATGTTAAATCTTTTTATTTTTTATTGTATTTTCAAAATTCAATACTTTAAAGTTAAAAGAAACTTTGTTGTCAGTGTTAAAAAAAATACATAAGCAGAGTATGGCGGTCTGTTGTTCAAAAAGAATAAAGTAAAGTGATAGTCTGTAAATTTAATATTCAAATATTCCATCAGTCAAAATTCTTGTATACATTCATGAGTGCCGATAGCGTTTAAAAGGTTTCATCTGGGAATAGTTAAATAATTAAATAAGTGTTAACATCCGGAAAGAATCAAAATATAAAAACAGGAGGTGTAGAAAATCATAATATTTGTCTCGATCACAGGGGTTCCACTATGGTTCTGTATCCCGAGAAGGGTCTACTCTGTCAGTGCCCTCAGCGTATGTAAGTCTATCTAACCGTCCAATGTTCTGCTATGCCACTGTGTACATCTATATTTGTTTATCTATCACTTTTCTCTATATATTTGTCTCCTGTCCCGATCCTTGAAATTGATATAACGTCCTATAATTTGTTATCAGTACCACATTATTCTGTTTCCTCCTTCAATAAATAAACCAGAATAAATCAGAGTAGTTGGGATCAATCAAATATAAAATAAATATTATTTCTAAATCTGAAAAAATAAATACTTCACTCGGATATCAATGTCAGAAATAAAAATCCATATACAACTAAACTATAAAAATATTTTGAATGATCAGTAAGGAATATAATATTTGTAAAATAAATATTTTGTCGTTGTTCTTTATAAACTTTTGTTAATTGAATACCTGTTGATCAAACTGGAATAATTTAACCCTTTTTTAAAGGGGCGTCGGTTCCGCAACGGTTTAGGTGTTGACACGGCGCTCATCACTGTGAGGTAAAGGCCGCTGGTTCGAGAATCCAGCTGTCCTGCATTCCACCCCGACATAGTTATAAATGACCCTTTTTTTTTCAAAAACACCTGCACCCCAAGGTTCAGATAGCCTAGTAGTTGAAATACCATCGTAAAAAAATAATAATAAAAAGTAAAATACCACATAAAAATTTATTTCAATTAAGCTTATGAATTATATAAAATTAAATGTTAAAAATTATAAAACTAAAAGATTCTTCTTTTAATTTGTTGTTTTTCATTTGTAGACTAGAGTAAACCCGCAGTACTTTACGGTCTTCACAAACTGTATACTTCAAGCGCCTTGCATTGGAACCGGATATACAAATGGGCTTTTTTTTCAAAAACACCTGCACCCTAAGGGTTCAGATAGCCTAGTAGTTGAAATATCCTCGTAAAAAAAATATAAAAAAATAAAAATAAAATGATTACATTTAAGAAAAATAATAAAAATTAAAAATTCTTCTTTTAATTTGTTGTTTTTCATTTGTAGACTAGATTAAACCCGCAATACTTTACGGTCTTCACAAACTGTTTACTTCTAGCGCCTTGCATTGGAACCGGACATAGAGATGTGCTTTTTTTTCAAAAACACCGGCACTTCGAGGGTTCATATAACCTCGTATATCCTCGTAAAAAATAAATAAATAAATATATAACATAAAAATAAAATACCACATAAAGTTATTACAATTAAGAATAATAATAAAAAAAAATTCTTCTTTTAATTTGTTGTTTTTCGTTTGTAGACTAGAGTAAACCCGCAATACTTTACGGTGTTCATAAACTGTTTACTTCTAGCGCCTTGAATTTACTTGTAACCATTAAAAAACCCTCTTTAAAAAAAATTATGTTTTTTTAGTCAATACCTTATGTGTATAATAAATAAACCGAGTGGTCCCAATACTTGAAATTTTAGCATGGTGTTTGTGCCAGAAAAAGACTATCCTTTTCACCATAAATTTTTTTAATCCTCCCAAAAAAACAAGATAGTAAATGTATCCTATTATTCAAATTTGACTCTGGTATCCCTTGTATATCCTTGAAAATGTTCTACCCCCAAATAAATCAATATCTTCATGATACAAAACAATTTAAGCTTACATTTATTTTACATTCTTCACAAGCATTTGTAGATGAACGAAAGCAGCACAGCTTAGACATATCTTGGCTGCATTATTCTTTAAAATCTGAGCTGATAACACAACAGTAATACACAACAACAATGAAAACATTGTTATAAAGGTTCTTTTGTTTATAAAAAAATAAATAGTTATTCAAAACACTAAAACAATGAATTAATAAACGCCTACAACCTTTCCTACATCCACACCCAGAATTTTTAAGAACATGAACATCTGTGTAGCCATTTTTCTAAGAGTTTCATTTTTTTAAAAATCTCTATCTGTCTATATGTTGCTATTAATGCTGTTTTTACACATTTGATGTTTATTTAACTCTTGGCCCAAACTGGGCTGGTTGTCGCTTTTAATGTTTTATATATTATATGTGTCGTTTCCAATCTCATCTACATCATCAGTGTATATAAACACAAATCACTACCTACAACAGTCTGTGTGTTTGAATATTATGTGTATTAATTTTATTACAAAATTTTGAACATATTTTTCATACACACACCCAAGATGTACACACAAATAAATGTGCATACTACAAGTTGAGTCAATAAAAAATATGGATTTTTATTAACTAACAAGTGAAATTATTAGTTTCTAGTGCATTCACTATTGCATCCTTCTTTGTAGTTCATCTTGTATTTTGTAGAAAAAATATCATCTCTTTTAGAACAATGTATCTATCTGTGCTTTCTTTTTCTGCTTTTGAGACTTTATTTCAAAACAATAGATATTTTTATAAGTAAGAAGGAATAGTTGAATGCGCCAAACTGAATAATTCACTTTCTTTCTTTTTTCTGTCCTTTTTATAAACAGCATGTAGTATGTCATGTTGCTGTTCATATTTTGTTTCTTTTGCTTACTCTAAAAATGCGCGTTTCACTTGAATGTATTTTAACTGTGATGTGTGGATGGATGTGAAAAAGAGAGAAATAGGTAAATTATTATTTTGCTTATTGATCGACATCAATCTGTTTTTTGTTTTTTTTTTCTCTGCAGCTTGCTAGGAGCATGATTGTGAGTATAAATTGTATGCTTAATAAATTGAATAGTAAATTAGTGCCTTTGGAAGAAAAGCTTGTAAAAATGCTTTTTGAACAGATACAAAGGCTGTAGTAGTGTTGTCACTCGTCTTCAGTTAAACCTTTCTAGAGTAAAATAAATACTTTTAACATGGATTCGAATAAAAATATAGCAAAAATAATATCCTCTTTTGTTCTGTTGTTCATTATTCTATGCAAAAGTTGTAGAATATCAAAGAGGATATAGCACGATCATTATTAATAGTAGATGTGATTTGTTATTTTATAATTGTGAGATAATTAGCATTTAAAAGATTTTATAGGTTTAGAATTTATTAAATGTTGACAATTAATTCATTTAGGTTATCTAGATTCTATAGAAATAAATGCAGGATATTAGTTAATTAACAATTCATTGTAGAAAACATCCTTCAACCTTCTTCATCAGAGTTAATTAAAATTTTTGCATAAAACATGTAATTATGAAAAAAAAATTGTACAATTTCACAATATGTTTTTAATTAATTAAGGTTTTTAGTTGAGATAAAAAAGTCTGTGTCACGAGCGCGATTCAAACCACGATCTTCAGCTAGATACGCCGCTGCTCTACCACTTGAGCTATCGTGACCTTGATCCACTCCGACACTAACTTCCCATCTCAACCCCACCTTTTGAATTTTCCCTCCTTTTTGCCATTTTTCAAATGTCGTGTAATCAATTTGATTCTCGGCGACAAACGAAATGGCCACGGAGAGCTTTAGTGAAGGTATACTTCATTTTAAACTTATTAAATTCACTAGTTTCATGGTCCACTTGACCAATAAATATCTTACAATTAATTGGTTAACTAAAAATAGTTCAGCAATAGCACAAACAGGGCTTTAATTACCTACGATATGCAGATGACCAGTCAATAATCATCACATAGAAGATGCAATCCACAGATTATCTTGAAATCAGCAACAAAATAGACAAAATACAAAGAACAAAATTTGGATGGCATATTATCATTGTGGGAATAGGAGGGGGTTGGTATCAAGATGTCATACAATTATACACAGTGGTTGTTAGACCCCATGATAACTTACATATCGGGGGGTTTGATGGATGAAGTTATTACAGCTGCAAACGAATAGGATCTAAGTACTGAAGTACAGAGATTAGCATACCTGAGCAATGAGAACAACCACCAATGCTCTCCCTGGAAGTCCAGGTGTAGGGTGTGATCCCATCGCCCAGGAGACTACACTCCCCACCATCCTATTGGATACAAGAGGACTTCCCGATTTACTGGAGCATCGAATAATAAGTAAACACTCCAAAATTAGACACTATAGACAATTTCGCAAGATTCTTTTAAGATTTGCACTACTATTAATTGTCAGGTGTGCAATCAGTCACACATCATGGGCATCAGCAGACAAGTCCTACAACTAACATTCCAAGCCCATCATACCTCACTATCGGGTTTTGATTTGTAGTGGTACGTGGTGCAGGTAGTCTAAAGAGTTTCTCTCTTGATGGTGGTTCGTATTCAACTTAAATAAAAAATTCACTAATTTCGTGGTCCGCTTGACCAATTAATACATTATAATTAATTAAGGTTTTTAGTTAAAAAGTTAAGTTGTTAGTTAAGTTTGAAAAATGGCAAAAAGGAGGGAAAACTCATAAGGTGGGGTTGAGATAGGAAGTTGATGTCCGAGTGGATCGAGGTCACGATAGCTCAAGTGGTAGAGCAGCAGCGTATCTAGCTGAAGATCGTGGGTTCGAATCCCGCTCGTGCCATTAACTTTTTTTCATCTCAACTAAAAACCTTAATTAATTGTAATTAAATAAAAAAGCGGGGCCAACCTGTCAGAAGTACCTACGCTAGGGATGCGTCTCCACTCATGGCTTCGATAGAGGCAGAAGCGAGTTGTCTCCCTTCTTGTAAAATGATCCCATGCTTGCACTTGGGCCCAATATGGCACAGTTTTAAAAGATCTTCATTTCCTTCTCAGGACACGAGTAACAGAAAGAACGAATATCTTGGATGTCCTACTGAATCCATCCCTACATATTTTTATCCACCTGAGTCCCAATTCACAGGCTAATCCAGGAACATTAGCTTACACCATAAAATGGAGCGATTAAAACTTTGGAAGGAACTTCAGGCGAATAAGGTTCTGGGAATACCTGTCAATGCCATTATGCCAAAACAATTTTAAATCAAAATACCCAATAGTAGAAGAAAACAATTCCAGTTAATGCTGACTATATCTGGCTACAATAGCTCCACAACTAAGTAATGGTCAAAAGTCGGTATCTATTGGAACAAACCAAGTTCTTTGGGGTCGGTGGCCGCAATGGTTCAGGTGTTGACATGGTGCACATCAATGTGAGGTAAAGGTCCCGGGTAACTAACATGCTCACAAATGGGCATTTTTTCAAAAATACTGTCACCCCGAGAGTTTGCATAACCTGGTAGTTGAAATACCCTAAAAAAATTTAATTATTTTCTATGTACACTACATATTTGTACATATTACAAATATGATTAAAAAACTTCTTTTTTTTTTACTCTGTCACTGACAGTAAAGCTAGCATTGCACCCAAGAGGAGACATGCCATGAGAAACTGGCCAATGCAGGCACTCAGTGTGAGAGATTAAGGGGCAAGGAGGTCCCAAGACCATCAATTAAAGCAACAAGATGGATTCTCGGGATGGGACTGTGTTCGCGCCCTTTTGGGGAATACTTTCTTTTGGCAAGGAGGAATTTTCTTTTATTTTTTATTTATTTATTTTTATTTTTTTATTATATATATATTAGAGAGAGAGTGAAAGATAGTAAAAGGGGGGGCTTTCCGTAGGGCTGATTGTTTCCCGCACTTTAAACGTTCGTTAGTGCCCACTGTGATTCGCCTCGCTTCGCACGCTACTTCCTTTTTTTGGCTGTTTGTTCGAGCCACCGGGATTTCTCTTACTGGGACCAGCCGATCGTTGTGGCCAAAGGTTGAGGTAACTCCTAGAAGGGTTGTCCATTATCCTTTTCCCAGCTGATTTTCTTACCTTCCTGTTTCCCCCCTTACCTCGTTCGCAGAAGGAAGCTTTAACCTGATGTGTGTGGGAAAGCCTCATTACAACTTTAATTAAATTTATTGATTTTATTATTATCGAACCCCCCACGAGAACATAAAAAAAATACAGTCTACTCTAGGCCAGAACAGACTGTTTAGAGATGGCACAAGTAGTAGGGTTATTGGAAGGACTGAATGTTGGATGGCTTGGCAGAACCCCATGGTTCCACTCCTTATGTCCAAAGTGGTCGCAGTAAAGCCTTGTACATAAGGTTAACGGTCAAGAAAATTTTGGTCCGTCCTACAAGTCTTCATAGTTGTCAAAGACTTCGTTTTTCTGTCTCTGAAGTCTTGTAAGAGGATTCCATGTCTGCTGTCTAGTACGGTCCTAAGTATTTGACTTGAATGGAAGTCAGTACCCCTTTGTTGTTGATGTACAATGAAGGGCAAGACTGTTTTCTCAAGTAAACGAACATTGAGTACATTTTTCTTCATCAGTCTTGTCCTACTTTTTGCACCAGTCTTCTGTAAGCTCAAGGTGTTCTTGAATATTGGAGGTAGTTAGATAGGATTCAAAGCGGAGGATAAAATTGCGGTAGTGATGACGGTAATAGGTAGGTCAGGAGTATAGGCTATAAAGGATGGGACCGAGAATACTCCCTTGTGGGAGGCCAGCTTGTGTCTGACTTCTGAGACTTGTTGCTGCACCTCACTCTGAAGCAGTGGTCTGTTAGGTAGAATTTCAGGATAAGGTAATAATAAGTGTGTAGAAATCATTTAACTTTAGAAAGCATGCCTATAAAAAAAATTAAATTCAAAAAAAGAAAATTAACACCAAAATATTTCTTGTACAAAAAGATAAAACCTGCATTTATTTCTTAAAAAACCAATACAATAATAATCATGATAAGTATAATGCGTGTTAGTTTCACCTAGTCTAAGATCTGGTGAATGTGATGACTATTATTGGGCAGACAGGACAAAAAGTAAAAAACAGATATATAGAACATGTAAGATTATTTAGAACCCAATTACATAACTCACCGCACAGAAAGCTATCATGTACTCTTAACGATACGTACAAGCATGAAACTATTTCATAACTACGTTACTAGAGTCGTATCCCTTCGGACCTACTCACTTTTCTTTTTTAAAAATCTTTGAAGACATACTTCTCCAAAATTATGGCAAAACACATCAACACATGTACAAATAAATTCATCTTTGAAGTATTTGATGTGGAGTGTATTCAAATAGTTCTTTTTTTTAATTGGATCCAAACCATGAAAGACAAACAGAAACAAAAAAAGAACAGTACAAATGTGTTGATGCCACACTTGGCATAGAAGGCATCAAAAACTACATTAACCTCTGACAGACATGAACTCCGTACAAAAAATGTGCAATTTAAGGCAGATTAAGATAGCAAAAACAGTATAAATTTCTAATTAACTAAAATTCGACATACAGAAAACCAGTAAAGACCAACATCATAAAAGCCAGCTCAAGTGACCCCCATCGGCACAAAAACATGCCAGCATCAAATACATGACAAGCAGACTAAAACCAGTACCACAGACTAAAATGAAAGACAGAAACAAACTAAGAACAATACCAATAACAGCTAGAACACTGAATATTAAGCAAAATGGCATTGCCAAAACAAAACCTAAATGACCAGAAACGACAAAGTCACCTATGTTTGGGTACCAAGGCATACTCGGCAGAGTCGCAATGGGAACCCCACACATCGGCCAAGAAAAGTTCCTTAAGTACACCTATCAACCCTGAACCCTTTTGCAGCCTACCAAAAATGTAGAGTATCCGACAATGGATTAAAATAAGTCCTTGGTTCTACACTCATGTGAAAAAGGAACGTTAAAGAAACTAACGGCAGAAGTACCAAACCTAGGACCTGAATGATAATAGAACAGCTCACTTGCAAACTCTGGACGAATGAGTATAAACTCGGAGCATGTGCAAATATTACCAGGAAAAAAAAGGAACAGCTGAACAAGTTCTCTGTTGGAGGCTGCTTCTTACTCCTGGTAGAGTAAAAGCCAACTGAAGGACACATACCGGAGCCATTAAATTTTCTGTAAATTTAGTAAGAAATCTTAAGTTAGCAAATATCTATGGGCATCAAATGCATAATAAACCAATATTAGTCACTGTCTGGACATAAAAAGGCCGACTCATTTTAACCTGAGCTAACATAACCTCACATATGTAAAAAAACAGAACATACAAACTAATGAATATATTTAACAAATTAGAAAATAAAACAACACATAAGGCAGCAAACACAATCAGAAAACTACTATGATACAGATGACAAATAGATAACAAAAATGGAAGATGCCGAGACAAATACATCAGACTGACAGGATGAATAATAAGACAGATATATAGGTAAATAACAAATAAGGTCGTTTACACCTCAAAAAAAAAAAAAAAAAAAAAAAAAAATCAAGAACCCTCAACAATAGAAAAGTATGAATATACTCCACAATGAAAACTTGGAAATATACAAACAACACATTCATAACTTAAAAAATTGTTCAAACACAAAGTTAATGCTTATGCATTAATAAAAAATCTCTTAGAGATTAAAAAGGACCTATGATCTTGAAGACTGACAAGAACAGTCAAATCCCAGACTCTAGACCAGGACGATTGGTATCAACCAAATTACGGTCTAAAACAAACTTAGCCCATTTGCATTTTGTCCAGTGAAGTAAAATATTATTTCATAAATGTGTTAGAAAGCTTATTTAGTTTTTAGCTCAATATATAACTGAATTTATTTCTTTATGTGATATCCCTTCGAAATTGTTTTTGTGCCTCATCATACAAATTTCAATTTGTAAAAAACAAGTTTCAAAAAAATAATTCAGTAATAAATTTTATTTTAATCAAAAGAAACAGTATAGAATCAATTATTATATTTAATTTATTTATTTACCAATAGTATATGTATGTACTTAATAATGTATCATTATTCATATTTATTATGTTATTAGACTAAATCCTTAGTTTAATCAACTTATGTAAACAAAACTTCTTTATATTTTAGTTAAATTATCACAAACATAGTGCTAATTGAAATTTTTGGTTCTTAGGGGGGGAGTATGCCAAATACTAGCAGCAGTGTCCCGTTCCTATTGAGCTCATCAATGCAAAGCATCAGATCACGAAGGCCATCGGCATGTCTGTCTAGTTCTCAAGGATCGGGACTACTACAGCAGCTGGGCTCAGGCATGGTAAGACAGCTATCATCCCAGCAGGTCAACGGAAGGGCATTCCCTGGTTGCAATGTAAGGCAATGTCCTTCCCCTCTCTCTCCACTCTCTCTCTCAATCTGTCTTACTTCTAATTCAAATTTCAAACTCTCTCCACCTCTATTCCCGGACCATGTTTTTTCATAGTGATTTATTTGAAGGAAAATTATAATGTAAATTGATAACTGACTGTTTTTATATGCAAATTATGAGAACACATGCTCTTTTGTCTCCTTTCATTTTTTTGTTATGTTTAACACCTTTCGATTGTATTGCACGCATGTTAGATACTAAGTTCATTAATCATTATCTCCAATGAACCTTGAACCACAATGGAATGCTGCAAATTGCCCTATAGTCTCACCCTCTGTTATGTACCCATCCTTGAAACTTATTCTCACTAAAGAACAAAGTTTTATTGTTTTATTTGATTATATATAATCACATATAAATCTTTGAAGGAAAAAAGTTCCTAGTTATATTCATATAATATAGTTGAATCCACAGTAAGAACATTAAGGTTGAAAGAAACCTACAAAAAGAATAGAAATATCCAAAACATAAAAATTATCAGAAATACGAATATTTTGACTATATAAACTTAGGAAGTCCAGATTAATAGTTTTCTGTAGGATTGACAAGCATAAACTAAAGTATGCTGATTCATATAAACGTAGAAAACCTGCAAATGTCAGCTGATTCAGCACTAACGGAGTAATGTGTGGCAGTTTCATAAGTGAATTAGTTTTCATTAAAATAAGTACATATATCTATCCATTACACTATTGAAATTTAGAATAAATCCAAAATAAACAGTTTATTACCTATTTTGTTGTCAAATCATGATGATGTTGAGGAAGAGGAAGCTATGAAGGTCCCAAGGTTTTGGCACTAGATTTGTCTTGTAGATCATACTCGGGGCAGTTTGTCTGCTTGTTCATTCCCAGAATTCTTTTGTACCCTGGCACAGAGATTTCCAGGTTTTCCGAAATTTTGCATGTATTCATTATATTTTATATGCGTCCTTTTTACTGATGATTTTAACTGTATAATAGTGATTGTGTATCAGTGATTTTCTAAGACCCAAGCATTGATGTATTTGAAGTCTGTATACCTTTTGATCTCTGGACTTCGATTCTTTGGTTTTTCTCAGATGCCAGTATAGAACTACTGTGTGCCACCTTTGAAATCTGATCGTGGGGTGGCCGGTCGTATCGAGTCTGGCTTGCGAATTCGAACGATTAAGTTGATTTTTTTTTTTTTAAATTATCGTTAAGCTTATTCGGGCGATAATTACTTGTCATGAGCGTCGTCATCGTGGATTGTCGAAAATTCGTCGTCCTCGCGTCCCCGGGAAGAGGAAAGCTGCGTACTGCGAACGTACGGCAGATTCGCGCGAATTACGTTCTTCCGTTCTTCCGAAATTTTGCGTCTAGTCGTCAACCAATTCCGTAGACATAGAAAGCAAAGAAGACGTTGAAAAGTGTGGGTGAACTGTATTTTTTCACTCACGAACACTCTGGATCAGGGTATGGTCTTGAAGAAAAAAGCAAATTCAGTTGCTAATGCCAAGCTTTCAGCCTATTTTAAGGTAAAAACAATCTTAAATATGTCTACAGATTGACATATTTAAGTTTTTTTACAGGCCATCTGAAATTTCCTTGAAGACCGATTGTCGGAACTGAGCCGGTTTTCAAGGAAATTTGAGATGTTCGTAAAAAAAACTTAAATATGTCAATCTGTAGACATATTTAAGATTATTTTTCCCTGGTATGACCTTAAAATAGGTCGAAAGCTTGGCATTAACAACTAAATTTGCTTTCTTCTTGAAGACCATACCTTGAGCCAGAGTGTTCGCGAATGAAAAAGTCTTCGCTATTTTCGTATTGAAAACAGTATTCTTTTAAGACATTTGAATTCTCCTCCCACAATTTATTTTGTACTTCATGTGGTTGTTTATTTCTCTCTGGCCCCACAGATATCGTCTTTCGAAAATCAAAATTATTAATTTCTCGCAATCCATCGAACTGAAATCGAGAGAATGGGTCGATTCGTCAGAATTCGCATTAAAATCTAAACTGAACTGGATCGGTTCGCATTCGCAACATTACGAAGAAAAGGGACGAACGAAAACGCGCCTATTGGACATTTCAATTCATTTTTGTTGGTTTCGATCGTTCGCGAGTTTTCGGACGAATTCGGACGTACGTTAATTTGCAGCTTTTCGGAACTTTCTGCTTCCAGTGGACGCGAGGCCAAGGCTCCACGAGGTAACGTTTTTCCATAGTTATTCCTATCAGCAATTTCTACCCATCCCTGTTCCCCCTAGGATTCCTCGTTGATGAATGAAAGTGACGAACGTGAGTTAATTTTCAACAAAACTTTATTTTATTAGTCGACGTTCATTATTCACTACATCGCCAGACCAGTTCCCCTATGGTTTTTCCATATCTGTCTGTAGCAAAATGTCGACCATTTTTGGCTAGTTCTTTAACCATAAGACTTATATGTCGGGCATCACTTAAGTTTGATCTCTTCTCCTTATGCTATGTATCGAGCCATTTTGCATATCACCTCGTTATCCTAATTACACGTTCTGAGCCTATATTTATCTTGCAGAACCTCCTGTAGCTTGTCTGCTTGTTCATTATCTAAAATTCCTTATGCTGTTATGTTTCCCCAGGTTTTTTAGATTTTGGATACATTTATCGACGATTTAACTGTCACTTGGCTTTCAAATTTTATACAGGTTTCCATCTTTTCTTACACAATTCTTCATTTTTACAGACTGATTAATATATGTTATTCCATTACTCTTCTTACATTTCTGGGTTGTTTTTTTTCTCCGGTCTTCATGTCTGTCGGTGTCTTCACAGATGCCAGTGACCGGTGTAAAGTCCCCTGAGTTTAACTCTGTCTAACTGTAGCAATTTTTATTTAATATATAAATAACTGTACCAATTTGTTGGTTAGATTCTTTAACCTCGAGTTTGTTATATCTGGTACCTCTTGATTTCGTCCATTTCTCTCAGTTGTAGATTCCGACCCTCTAGTTAATTTAGAAGATCATATGCCTATTTGAATATTTATTACTACTAGACAACATAAAAACAAAGGAGTTTTACGTTCATATTTTTTACCTGCGATTATTTGGAGGTCGTGAGATGCGATCTGGTGTGAGGTAGGTTTTAGAAAAACATTTTCTTTATCGTGCCGATGTTTCGATCTTTATTGAGATCATTTCAAAGCCTGGGATTTATAAACATCGTTTACATTTTACAAATACATGTAGGATATGAAAAAATGAATTTATACAATGCTAGAAAATTTTAGATTAAACAACAAATTTTACAATGCTAGAACATTTTAGATTAAAAAACAGATTATACAATGCAAGAAAATTTTTGATTAAAAAAGAAATAAAAAATAATTTATACAATGCTCGAAAATTTTAGATTAAAAAAGAAACTATACAATGCTAGAAACTTTTTAATTAAAAAAAAAATTATACAATGCTAGAAAATTTTAGATTAAACAACAAATTTTACAATGCTAGAACATTTTAGATTAAAAAACAGATTATACAATGCAAGAAAATTTTTGATTCAAAAAGAAATAAAAAATAATTTATACAATGCTCGAAAATTTTAGATTAAAAAAGAAACTATACAATGCTAGAAACTTTTTGATTAAAAAAGAAAAAATTATACAATGCTAGAAAAGTTTAGATTAAAAAAAAATTATACTATGCTAGAAAATTTTCGATTCAATCAAAGTAGTTGTACTTACTCAAAGTGTTTGTGTCATTCTTGTCTGTCGTGAAGAATGACAAAAAAATGAATTTATCCAATGCTATAAAATTTTAGATTTAAAAAAATTATACAATGCTAGAAAATTTTTGATTCAAAAAGAACAAAAATGAATTTATACAACGCTCGAAAATTTTAGATTAAAAAAAAAGAATTTATACAATGCTAGAAAATTTTAAATTAAAAAAATTATACAATGCTAGAAAATGTTTGATTCAAAAAGAACAAAAATGAATTTATACGATGCTAGAAAATTTTAGAATAAAGAAAAAAAAGTTATACAGTGCTAGAAAAAAATTAGATTAAAAAGATTATGGAATGCTAGAAAATTTTTAATTCAAAAAGAACAAAAATGAATTTATACAACGCAAAAAAATTTTAGATTAAAAAAAAAACTTCATACAATGCAAGAAAATTTTAGATTTAAAAAAAATTATACAATGCTAGAAAATTTTTAATTCAAAAAGAACAAAAATTAATTTATACAACGCAAAAAAATTGTAGATTAAAAAATCGAATTTATACAATGCTAGAAAATTAGATTTAAAAAAATTATACATTGCTAGAAAATGTTTGATTCAAAAAGAACAAAAATGAATTTATACAACGCTCGAAAATTTTAGATTAAAAAAAAAGAATTTATACAATGCTGGAAAATATTAGATTAAAAAATTATACAATGCTAGAAAATTTTTAATCCAAAAAGAACAAAAATGAATTTATACAACTCAAAAAAAATTTAGATTAAAAAAACGAATTTATACAATGCTAGAAAATTTTAGATTTTAAAAAAATTATACAATGCTAGAAAATTTTTGATTCAAAAAGAACAATAATGGATTTATACAATGCTAGAAAATTTTTGATTCAAAAAGAACAATAATGGATTTATACAATGCTAGAAAATTTTAGATTAAAAAAAATTATACAGTGCTAGAAAATTTTATTGAATCGAATTGAATCGAAAATTTTCTAACATTGTATAAATTCTGTTTTTTTATATATAATTTTATAGCATTGATAAATTCATTTTTTTATCTAAAATTTTCTTGCATTGCATAAATTCATTTTGTTCACATCCTCCATGTATTTGTAAAATTTAAACAATGTTTATAAATCCCAGGCCCTGAAGATGATCTCAATAAAGATCGAAACGTTGGCACGATAAAGAAAATGTTTTTCTAAAACCTACATCATACCAGACCGCATCTCACGACCTCCAAATAATCATTAAGTAACGGTCACTAAACACCACACTTTTTTACCTGTGTGAAATTTGTGAAGTGGTGCCTAGAATTTTTATTCTAAACAAAGTAACAAAGAGAATAATATTCATAGTTGAGTCCGCGAAAGTATAGGTTGAAAGAAACCAGGTATTTCGTGGTAGTTTAATTTATTAATAGAATAAGCAGCATGCTTGTAATAGAAAGCACTTAACACACATGCTAAACAACCTTGATCAAAAAGAGCATTAGAACAGCTTTAGCTTACCCAATAAAATTTAAAAAACTGTTCTGTTCTTTGTAAAACTATCAGTTTAACCTAGTTTTGAACAAATCTGCATAAAATAGTAACAATGAGTATATAAAAAATTAATATATAAAAGAAAAAATTGTGTTGCGCTTATAAATGAAAGTCAAATCGTAAGTGCTTTCTCTGTAAAATTTTGGACTTAATTTCAAATCTACAAAGGCACAAAATGCAACAGTAATTATTTAACCATGACACCATAAGCACTGCATCATGCATTCACATCACAAGTAATTGAAGCGTAAAAGAAGCTCAAGAAAATGCAACGATAAGCACAACAATTATACAAATAGTGGCAGAATATAGAGAATGAAGCACAGTAAAGTACACGAATGTCATAGCGATTCTATTAAATATTCATTGTCTAATGTGACCCTTTCTAGGGTAAGGCAAAATATTCAACACGGTAATCAACGCCAAATCTACACAAAAGTCTTTAATCAGCTGACTTAATGAACTTCAACAAAATAGGTAAGAATATATTATTGATTTAGGGACTGTTTACCTAATTAAGATTGAAAAACAAGAAAAATGTTTAACTGATTTTTATTATAGATTTGTATATGATTTAGTTTGACTCAAAAACATGTAAAAAAGTGTTTTAGTTTTTTTTGTTTTTTTTATTTAGTCATACAGAAAGAATAATTTTTTAAAATAAATTTTTAAAATAATTTGAAGAATTTTCATAAACACCAAAGGTGTCGATGTGCACTACAACAATGCATTTGCTTCATGCATTCTGACTTGTGTTTGTTTCTTTACATTACTAGTACACAAATCATGCAAACATGGCATGGAACACCAAAACACACATATTTACGAAGTTTCTTCATGAGTTTTACAATGTTTATTATTTTCTGAAAATACTAAAAATTACTAATCACTAAGAGATTTCTAATTTATAAAAATCTTAAATAAGCATTGCTTGCATGGAGATTGATTCATTTTGTCCACTATGAAATTAGTTTGCATAGTTTGTCGATAAAATTATTTCATGAATTTTTGAATAAGTTTTTTAATGAACCCTATAAAAATATATATGAACAAATAAGGATTTTTATCTTATACCTTAGCTTTATTGCTTCGTCATTCCACTCCACATTTTGTCTTGTCTTTCGTCTTTGAACCTTTCCTCATCCCGAACAAAGCTTTTTTGAGTGAGAGAGTGAATCCTTCCTGGACAATTTGCACCTGTGGTCTGAGGTAAAGTATTCAGCATTATTTCCAATTACCTTTTCCCCCGTACAACTGCAATCCAAAGTACCAAATCATTGTCGTACCATTCAGCTCATTTCGTCTCATTACTAAGTGTAATAATAATTTATAAATGTTAAAGGTTTTCCAATAATAATATTTAATTTATAAAGGTTGCATGAAATGTATTATTATGTTGTTTCACTAATTGTTAGGTAAGAATTTATCTCCTAGTAAGTTTTTTTTCAAAATTTTTCAGTTACAACAATATTTTGATTTATGTTACAAAAAATTATAGGTTGGTTAATTTATTTTTTTAATGTATTTCTATTATTGCACATATATTATATGAAATTCAAATGTTTTTTTTTCAGGAATTACAAAAATCAACCAATTTTTTTATATAAGTTAATGAAACTATAACTATATAATATTAGCACACACAATTATCTGATTTTCTTTGGTCTAAAAGTTTATTTTTCCTTTATTCAAAAATATTCTTTAATGTCAATACATAATTGAGATAATATATAAAATACATTCAATGCTTTCTGAGCCAGGGTTTGCTTAGGTATTTTGATATACTTTGTGAACCATCCCTAAAGCGGCCAATAGTCGATCAATATTATTGCACAATATTTTGGTTTGTGCAATTTAATTGATCGTATGTAGACGATATTGAAAGTTTGCGCAATACATTGCATGATTGACGAAAAGTTGAAAATATATTGTACAACCTGGAAAATATTGCACCGTCTGTTGGCATTATTGCGCAATATCAGTCAGTTTGTGAAGTATCAACAAGTGGAAAATATTGCACAATTTCAATATCGCCTTCAAACTATTCACGTTCATGGCACGAACAAAATTTTGTACAATATTATTGAACGTTAAGGGGCAACCTTCAAATTATTGTGCAATCTATATTGTACAATAATATTGACTGTCTATGGGCCGCTCGAATATTACTCGTTTCTACCAGGTAACCAGAAATATTCGTTATTGGTTTAATACCGTTAATCAACATTTCACTTCACGTAGAAAGATTAGGTGTTTACATCGCATAATACCAAAAAGATAATGCGTCAGTTAATAAATAAAAAGTCCCTAGAACAGTGCACTGTAAATTATAAATATATACATTTTTTTTTCTCGAGGCTTTAAAACCATATTTTCTTTGTTATTGTGTGAATTTAAGCTCTATACTAGGTCTACTGAGGCAGCTGGTAAAATTTGTATTTGTCGATGAAACAATAATTGAATACACTGACCAAAATTTGTATTTTTGGGAATGATGAGATTGAAGATGAGCGGTCTAGTTGACGTCCTGACGGGTACGATGGTATGATCTATTGTTACCGTACAGGATCAATTTTTTTTTTTTTTTGTCACTTGTGACAATCCAACAAACATTTCTACATTTGTCATGAAAGCAATGAAAGGTATATGTTTGGACGTTACAGCTTTATGCCGGGAACACACCCGATGCAACGTCATGCGACGCTACCCGACGCCTTGCCACGTTTTGGTAGGGTGTGCAGATCTATGAAGTCAAGCGCACGCCACGTACAGTCCACAGCGTGTATCACAAATCAGTATCAAAATCGCAACGCCTCTTTTGTTCTTAATGCATTATTTTGAGCAAAACCGTGTAATAAATGGTTTGTTAAACTTAATTGTTTTAAATAAAGTTATTCCGGTGTTTTGATAAAGTTTCTTTCTAACCATCATACCAAAATAATTTTTATAAAAACTTATGAATTTTTGTTCTCGTTTAATTTGGTTTACATTAAAATAGGAACGACAAAATTACATATACTTAGTTTGAAATAAACTGCAAAAAATATGAGTTTAAGATACTCGACGAAAATGGTGTAATTTTATGAGCAAAACCTTGAAATAAATTGTTGGTTAAATTTTATAAGCAAATCGTGTAATAAATTGTTTGTTAAATGTTATCAAAAATTGGTATTCTGGTGTTTTAATCAATTTTCTACCAAACCATTGAAATTAATTTTTTAAAATAAAAACTAACGAATTTTTGATCTTGGTTAATTAGGTTTATATTAAAATAATTTGTTATAATTAATATAACGACAATAATACATGTAGTCTGAATAAAAATATGAGTGTCCGGTTCTTTTATTTTTGACTGTACCCGATGCTACCCGAAAATCTAGACAGTGGAGATCCCAGAGCGTTGGGTAGCAACGGGGGTAATGCAACCGTATGGAAAATCGGAGTTTGGATTTTCGTCCGGTAGTGTGTTTCTGGCTTTACCCTCGGTTAATTTGCTTAAGCCAGAAACACACTTACCCGATGCGACACTACCCGATGCTACCCGACGCAAATCCAAACTCCGATTTTCCATAAGGTTGCATTACCCCCGTGCACATCTACCCGATGCTACCCGACGCAAATCCAAACTCCGATTTTCCATAAGGTTGCATTACCCCCGTGCACATCTACCCGATGCTATGCCACGCTAACCTACCCGACGCTCTGCGGTCCCCACTCTCCAGATTTTCGGGTAGCATCGAGTACAGTCGAAGACAAAAGAACTGGAAACTCATATTTTTATTCAAACTACATGTATTAATGTCGTTATATTAATTACAACATACTTATTTTAATATAAACCAAATTAACTGTGATCAAAAATAATTAGTTTTTATTTAAAAAATTAATTTTAAAGGTTTGGTAGAAAATTGATCAAAACACCGGAATACCATTTTTTGATATAATGAATTTAACTAACAATTTATTGTACTCGCTTCGGCGGTACATATACTAAAATTGGAATAAAATTAATTAACAATTTATTTCATAGTTTTACTCGTAAAATTACACCATTTTGTAATGTCGGGTAGCATCAGAACAGGTCATTCATATTTTTTGTAGTTTATTTCTAACTAAGTACATGTAATTTTGTCGTTATATTAATTACAACATGTTATTTTAATATAAACCAACGTAAACGAGATAAAAAATGCGTAAGTTTTCATAAACATTGTTTAATTATGATGGTTAGGAGTAACTTTATTTAAAACAATTAAGTTTAACAAACAATTTATTAGATGGTTGTGCTCATAAAATTTAACTAACAATTTATTACAAGGTTTTGCTCAAAATAGTGCATTAAGAACAAAAGATGCGTTGCGATTGTGATAGTGATTATTGTGATAAACGCTGTAGACTATACGCGAGGTATGCTTGCGTCGGATAGATGTGCACACCCCACCAAAACGTAGCAAGGCGTCGGGTAGCATCGCATGGCGTAGCATCGGGTAAGTGTGTTCCCGGCTTTATTGTTGAATCAAGTTTGGTAGCTTCCCTTAATTCTCATCGAAGACAGAAGATCTTCGCTGAGATTCATATTCAATAACCTAATTACCAGAAATAAATTTTTAAACCACTTTTGGGTCATGCGCTCACTTCAGTTGCCTTGGTTGCTCTAGTATTAAGCTTAAATTAATAAAATAAAATATTTAAAAGCTCATTACCATTGGTGATTTGACGTGGAACCCATTTCTTTAACTTCCAACTTTTCACAAGTCGATGTAAGATAGTGAATGGTTTTCGTTGCTTCCATTGGGCGAGCTCCTGACATGTTTGACTCAAATCATGTTTGATTCCCGCGGTTCATTCTCATTGAAACTGAAGATCTATCAGGCCTAGATTCATCTTCAATCCCATAATCCCCAGAAGAGAATTTTTTAAAACATTTTTGGCCCATGCACTCCCTTATTTTCGTCACCCAAAGCAGTAAAAATTTTACAGGCTGCCTTGGCAGTCTAGTCTTGGGCTTAAAATCATACAATAAAGGCAAAGCTTCCCCCAATTCGTTCTCATTCAAGACAGAATATCTACCAGGCCGATATTCATCAACCTTCTTAAAAGCTCAAATAACAGCTTAGATTCATTCAACCCACAGATTATAGGCATGAAGATACAAAATATTTTATAATTTACAGAGAATTATTCAAGACACTTTTATAAGAACTGATGCATCATTCTCTTCGTAGTACGTTATGTATACGCTTAATTCTCTAGTGTAAATAGAAATGCTGATTAAAGGTATTAAAAGGGTAAAAAATTTAAAAAAAACATGAAATCTTCTTGTTACCTTTTACTTCAATTTTCCAGGTTGGTTTTTCATAACCAAACAATTTATTAACAGGTGGTATTACTTAGTTTTGTCAATGTTAATCTGACCTTCGTGGAAATGTCTAGGCATTTAAATTTAATTAAAATTTATGAAAACTTTAATTCACGATTTTCGTGGTCTGCTTGACCAATTAATACGTTACAATTAATTAAGGTTTTTAGTTGAGATGAAAAACTGTTGATGTCCGAGTGGATCGAGGTCACGATAGCTCGGGTGGTAGAGCAGCGGCGTATGTAGCCGAAGGTCGTGGGTTCGAATCCCTCTCGTGCCATTAACTTTTTTTTCATCTCAACTAAAAACCTTAATCAATTGTTTATAAAAACTTATGGAAGACACTGTACATGCTATCAGAACTATGTTCATCCACGTTATATCATCCCCTATTCATTTATTTGCAATTTCTCCATCTTAATATAATATTAATCATGATTTGGACCACCATAGTTTGACAATCCCTGGTCTAGTTCAGTGTGATTTGGTTCTATGAGTTGTATTTTTTTAAAATATTTTCTGATAATTTTATTTGAATATTTATTTGGATTTACAAGAGACAGGGTTATGGTTTAAAGCTCATCCATCAGTCTTAATTCATTAAATTTTAGATCCTTGTGTTCAAGTAATTTGAACATGAAGTTTAATTATCACATATTTCAATGTAATTTAAATGTTAAATTAATTTTTACAGTACCAACTTTTTTCTGGACGGTCATAAGTTAGAATACCAGATAGAATCTAATGGAAGAACGCCAATAATAATATATGAAAGAAAGACGAAGAGGGGAAATCGACAAGACGAGATAGACCCACCCTTAATGATTTGACTTCTCGAATTACTTATCTTCAGATGTGACCTGTAGAAAACCAAGAATTACCGAAACTTAAATCCGTAGAAATAATAAATACCAAGTGTAAATGTTTTAAAGGAGACATAAATTTACTCTTTTTGTATTCCTCTAATTGCCTTTATTCTTGTATAAATATTAAATGTGATGTATAAAAATGTATTTTTGGATTGTACAAATTGTCAATTGCCTGTAAAATACGCCTCTTGAATTGTGTATAAACAATAAATTTCTATGTACAGTTGTTAACTTTGTGGTACAAAGTATGTAAGTGAGCCGATCTACATGGGTTTCACATCCAGAAATTGCAATAAACTTAATAACTTAAGTATATAAAGTGAGGATTGATGAATATATTAAATCAATTTCTCTTTTTTCGAATAGTGAATTGCATTATAATATCAAAAACATTCTCATAATTCAATTTCACTTAAAATTTATATCAATACTCTGAGTATTGGTGGAAATTTTCCATATCCACATTATAAAAACCACAGGCTTGAACCAATTGCATTAAAATACCATAGAATCGTTTGAGTATATAAGTTGTGTTAGTGCCTTTTAAAATTAAATATTACAACATGGGGTTAATATTTTTGTAATTGGCTTATCATTTCAGATGTGAGATCAAAAGGGCAATCCTGATGATCAATTTGTAAACATTCTGCTTCAAAGCTAAACAATATAAATACCCATTCATAACACCAACAAATTTATAAATTTATATCAAATATTAACTTTTCTCGATATAATTATAGTATTTGATACAAAAACCACGTTTAAACTTCATACATGTATCGTTACAAAGAAAAGTTGTTTCTGCATAATTTTCCTAATTAAAATTTTAAAAATACGGTAGCAGTCAACGTATAGTATTTATTCTTATTGTAGTATTTATATAGATGAGCACAAGAATTTTACATTGTATGTTCAGCTTTCAGTACAACGGTATTCACCCCAAATACATTTACAAGATAGACATTTTAAATATTATCCCTCAATCTAATCATATCCTTCAAATTAATCTGCACAATTAATCTGATTGGTTTAGAAACAGATTCACTTGTCCATTTGAGAAAAAAAATATTTTTAAAAAATATCCGTCCACCACGTACCATCCATTTTCCACCCGCAAGCAAACCTTCAATCTTCATATTTATTTTAATCTAGAGCCTATTCTTAACTTTGTGTCTCTTGTGTCTCAGGAAATTTGTTTAAAAACAGTCATACAAGCAATAATTCTTCACCTGACGGGCGAAACTGGATAATTAGAAAAACAATATGTTCAGGATTGAGATTTTGAAGTTTAGTTAATATTGTGCTTATGTTTGGTGTTTAGTGATCGTTATTTTTATGTTCACTAATTTCGTGGTCCGCTTGACCAATTAATACTTTACAATTAATTAAGGTTTTTAGTTGAGATGAAAAAAAGTTAATGGCACGAGACTGATTCGAACCCACGACCTTCGGCTAGATACGCCGCTGCTCTACCACCTGAGCTATCGTGACCTCGATCCACTTGGACATCAACTCCCCATCTCAACTCATAAGGTGGGGTTGAGATGGGGAGTTGATGTCCGAGTGGATCGAGGTCACGATAGCTTAGGTGGTAGAGCAGCGGCGTATCTAGCCGAAGGTCGTGGGTTCGAATCCCTCTCATGCCATTAACTTTTTTTCATCTCAACTAAAAACCTTAATTAATTGTAAAGTTATTTTTATGATTATTTTGAGATTGTGAGATGCGGTCTGGTGTGACGTAGGTTTTAGAAAAACACTTTCTTTATCGTGCCGACGTTTCGATCTTTATTGAGATCATCTTCAGGGCTCAAAGTGTTTGCTTTCTGGGTAGATGTGTCATTCTTGTGTGTTGTGTTTGGCACATCTACCCAGAAAAACAAACACTTTGAGCCCTGAAGATGATGTCAATAAAGATCAAAACGGCACGATAAAGAAAATGTTTTTCTAAACCTTACGTCACACCAGACCGCATCTCACGATCTCCAAATAATAATTGTGCTTATATCTCACCGCACATTCCTTGTGTGCCTTTATTAATTTGGGACAGGCCTGCCAACATCTTCACTCAAATGTACTATGTCATCCTCAGTACTTATGGCCCTGAGAGTTCTCAGCTGTTCTGTCTTCATCTACTAAAGCATCGATATATAAACAATCATGGGGTCTGTGTACAGTCATATGGACATCTTTGGATCCCCGAAGGTGTTACATCCATGAAAATCAAATTTTCCACTTCTTGTTTATTTTGTTGCTGATTCCAAAATAACCATTGGTCAAAGATGACTCCTAATAATTTTACTTTTTTGTGAGGATTCCATTGAGTGGACGAGGTGACCCGAAGGATCTATTGGCCTTTACCCTTTATATAAGGTTAAGTGTATATTGCACCTCCTATATGCCTCTGAATAGCATTGATTTATGACTATCGACTGTTCATCTGCGTACAGCAAGCAATTAAAGCCCTGCTTGTGCCAGTACTGAACTATTATTAGTCTTTGTTCATAATAACAACAAAATTGTTTGATGTGATCTTCCAAATAGAATGGCGATTCATTTGGCTCTATATAGAGAGCAAGCTGGCTAGCACAGTTTTTGCTGAGTTTGCTGTGTTCAGTCTGTCTAATTGTTCTAGTCCTGTCGAATTGTGTCTGACAGACCAAGATGATTATTAAAGATCAAATCATTGCTGAATATAAGATTATTGTATTTCAGCATTTGAGGTAAATTTACAAATAGACAAGTGGGATAAAAATGCTGGCTTAAGTGTGGGAGATGTCTATCAGGGTACATTGCATTTTAAAAGAAACAGTTTCCTTCTCGACAGCCATTTATTTATACATAGTCTGTCAGGACTGAAGACCTACTGAAATATGCAAAATTTTACTTATCCAGCATTGCCTCGAAGGTGAAATTAAACCAAAACAAAAACAAATTTCAGACTGTATTTCCCTAACACATTATTCAGGTTTTTATTTTTAACTCGATATTAAATTTTCACTTGTTAAATATCTTCAAAATGCAGAAATAATTTTTCCATTATGTTTTAAAATGTTTCATTCCTTCTTCTTTTCATTTTAATTTAAAAAAAATATTAAATTAAAATTATAATGGTGAGTAAAATGAATGGAATCGATTCAGTGTAATTGAGGAGAAGGGTCGATATGAGGATAATAATCATGTGAAATATTGTCTGATGAAAAAAAGGGGAAAAAATTTAAAATGAGTAACTAAGATCAAAGAAAGTTCTTAAAAATGAAAACTAGAATATTGCATCTGAATGCAACACAGGATGAATAATGAAAACAATTATAAAACATTTTTCTATTAATCATGACAATCTTATAAAAATACTTAGTTACAAAATTTACATTCTAATGGTTGTAGATAATGTATCGATTTAAATTTTATAAAAAAAGGTATTAGTACGTACCATTTAAAACTTTTATCAATCTTAAAATGTGTTAAGTTGCTAAAGATAGCGACAAGAGAAAATTATTTAATGTTTTGAAGTGATATTAATATTATAGAAATTATTTTTCTGACATTTCTCCCCTTGCTATCAAAACGGATCTTTGTGTAAATTTAAGATATTTTTGGTCAGTAAGACGATTTAAAATAATTTTAGACGGGATCAATGAATAAATAAACTCCCTTCTATATTAAAATATTAATTTTTTATAGAATAAATTTATATTTTTGATCCTTATGATATTGATATACCTCGTATGATAATAATTTAATAAATAATACGGATTGTTGTAAGTTTAGAAGAAGTGCTACACAGGGCTAATTATGAACATTAATTTTAAATTAAAATAACTTTTATATTTAAAAAGGTGAGCTGAGCAATTACAAACTCGTAATCGAAGTGAAAAACAAAATACAAATGCGCAACTTGTCATTTTTTTCATTAAAATTACAATAAGAGAATCAACCATTAGAAAGTTTATAAGTTTATTATTTTTTTTATAAGTTTGTTCTTTAAGTACAGATTAAAATTAAAATGCTGTACACGAGAAAATCAATATATATTGATCCTTTTTATAAAAACTTCAAATGTTTTCTTCTAATCTAACCTCACAAAACAAATATCTCAAGCGATTTGGTTTTGTTTATTCACAATGTTTATTAATTTTCTATTTATTTGCCTAAAATTGGCCTATCCCTGGTCCGTTTTGACATAGAAGCCTTAATCCGGCTAAAAAAACTGTCATAAAATTCCTCCTTTGCCTTCATAAAACATTTAGTTGTACGATATAAAATATATATTTATTAGTAATCAAACAATGATTATCTGTGTGACACTTCGTTTAAATAAAAATTCAAAAAATATATGTTAACTTTAATCCAAAGACATTTTTAACTGTAAGCGTTATCCATTTATAAAATTTCTATTGGAATATTTCTTTAAGGACAGATTGAAATATTTTAGTAATAGGTGTTAAAACTACACCTTGTTAATTAGTAATTAGAAAGAAAAAAAATTAAAAACCAAATAGTATTTATAAAATAGAATATCACAATAAAAAATAATAAATAGAAGTCATTAAATTATTCTAATCTATAAAAGAAAAATTCATTTTAAGCTAAAACGTATCATAATTATAGAGAATTAAACTTTAAAAAAAGAAGTTATAAGAATAATTTGTTTAATTTTTAAGTTAATTGCTCAATGTAAGAATAGTATATTTTATTTTTGAAGAGTTTTTTGCCAAATGGCATAAAGGTTATTGCTACAAGACAATCGAAATATTAGAATTGCTGGCTATAAAAAAAGTCTTAAAAATGCAATAAAGGATAGAGGATAAAATAAACTTCTACGGTCTTGTAGACATCTATGAACACTATGAAACTTTGCGCTATAGCACTTTTGAGCATCTTTGGTCTTCTACGAATAAACTTTGTCTTGTAGAGAAACTATCGTAATGACTCTCTATAAAGCAACTAATAAGCAATCAGACACAATCAATTTTTGTAAAACAATATCATAAAAAAAATGAAAAGTATAGTTTTAAAAATTTATAAAAGGTATCTGTGGTGGCAATCATACTTAATAGCGGGCGGACCTAAAGAACCAAAACCGACGAAGGTACCTTTTATAAGAATAAGGGATTTTTACGACAGAAGAAATTTTTGCTCAAAAACTGGGATATTGTCATTGGCATATGGCAGAAAACATTCTGCTTGCAGTTTCAAGGTTTGGTCAATAAATTAGAATTATATTTGGGGAGAAACGAAAAAAAGTTGCACTTCTTTTTTCAAACTAAATTGTTTAACTTATTTTTCATTTTCAATACTGATGTAGAATCTATTGAATCTGTCATTTCTGAGACATTGAGTATCGTAATTTAAAAAAAAAAAGTTTAAAATTATTTTTCAAAAAACATTAAATGTTATATGTTATACTGTATCTTTTAAAAATTACTTTATGTTAAGTTTATTTTTGATATTTAATACGAAGTGGTGAGAAAGAAACTTTCGAGATCAAAGTTTACAATTCTCTTGTGATGTAATGATAATAAAATGTTAAATGAAGTACTTATTATTATTGAGGCTTGAGAATTTTTATAACAAAAAAAAGATCTTTCATTATTTATAAACATTCGTAAACTAATATTTATAATTTAGTGAAAACCGAGGATTATAAATAATAATAAATAGACAAGACAATTTCTCATGTCTCAAAATCTAACGTTTCACATCTTAATTCGCATTTCTAATAGACTTTCCTACAACGTTCATATTGTAAATAAATATATCAATTGTTATTTATAATGCATGCAAATAACTAAAGAAGAAAAATAATGATAAATCACTCCCTGTTTTGTAAATATGTTTATTATATTTTGAAAAGCAATGACAAAATTAAAAAAAACTATCTATATATCTAATACAACATAAGGCACAACATAGACTCCTTATAAGTGTTCATACAAGTGCTGTACGTATCGGTGTATGAAGTAATTAATATATAAAATGTTTCAAAATATTCAATTGTAAAACGTTAAAACTCATTATATTTGTATTATGTGTACAAAATAAGTTAGATATTTCAAATTATTTACCTTTGTTCCTTGTGTAAAAGCCCCATGAATCATGTACACCCTGAAACAAAAACAAATCAATAAACTATTCAACACAGTGTGTTTTTGTTTTAATTTATTATTATTGAGCCTAATTATAAACAGTATTGCATGGCTATAATTTCAAGCTGTTTAAGAGCTTAATAAATTTTTTAACCTAGAAACAACATGAAAGAAAACAGTTGGAAATGCGAAAAAAATTACATTGCATCGCCTGTGGATAGGCCACACCAGGCTGTAACAAAGGCATCTTCAGGTCAAAGAAAATAGATGTCTTTTAAATAATCAAGTGTCTATAGAGTACAGAGTGCGAAGAATTAGCGCGTGTCCTGCTAGCAGATTTTAAACAACTTCTAAGGCACAGTTGTGGATATGAGAAAGGGATTGATTCAATCCTTTTTAAAAAGATAGTTCCTACTCACAGTGAGTTGTTTTGCAACGATCCGGATTTCGAGCCTTTTAGCTCATCATCAGGTTGAAGGACTTCTACAACCGCGTCTTTCGACATGAATTGCCAAAGTGAGCCCGCTGATACCTCCGCCAACGCGACGTTCCAATTAGCAGCTGATTTTTTTAATGGCGCTCAATTTGAACGTGCGAAACGCGGAAATTATAAAACAAATAGATATTATACTAGTAAATACTTAATATTACTTAATTACTATAAAAATAATAACAATTAAAATAATTAGTTTAATTATTTGGATGTTTGATATTATTTATGTACATATTTAAAATGGGAGGTAGATCAAAATCTGTTATATTATTAATGCATTTATCACCATGTTCAATTTTACATTTTTTAATTTCAAATTTCTCAAACCAATCTAGTTCTCTTCCTTTGTTGAAACTATGTAACACTGTTGGTTTTACATTTGAATTGAAATTATGTTTTGTTTCTTTTAGATGGTCCTTAAATTCCAAAAATTTGCTCGATTTAGGCAAGTGTTCTTTTACTCTTGTTTTTATTTCTCTACCGCTTTGACTTATATATTTAATATCACAATCATTACAATTGACTTGGTAAACCGCGCTTTTTCCCAAGTTGTCTACTTTGTCTTTAGGTTTTGAGAGGATGTTTTTAAGTGAACCCGTACTTCTAAAAGCTATTCTAAAACCTTCTTGTTTAAAAATTTTACTAACTTTTTCCGATAATTCACCAATGTATGGCATAATGACAATTACATGAAAATTACATTATATGTGTCGGTGAAGGACAGCGAAACAAAAAAAAATACATTATTTTTTGTCATTTTTTTTATGTTAAAAACATTTTTCGCAAACAACGAAAACCTTCTCAAAGAATATTTATGTTAATTTCCGAGACTTGCAAGTGTTGCCTTATCTTTTTCCTTCTTTTTAATTTCTGTTCCTTTGAATTGTCAAAATATATTTGTGTACTCGTATGTCCTTTTTTTTATATCCTGTTTTTGCACGCATTGTTCATTACACCCCTTCAATTTGGATTGATCGAAGAGTGCAGGGGTATTCATTAACCTCTCAAAATCAAAAAACGTAATAGGATGCAGATCACGTCCTCAGTTGGTGCGAAAGTTTATGCAAGTTAAAATTTCTACTTCTGGGAGCCTGAAGAATACACACAGGAATTCTTCAAAAATCTTTCGGGACCTTGTAACTAGCCTCATAATAAGTAGCTCTAGACAACAATAGATACATAAATAGCCATATACTACTAGTCACTGAGCGCAGGCCGTAAAAAGCCTGTATATAGTTCGTACTTGTTTTAAATCATGAGCCAGCTAGCCAAATCAAAGGCTCCTTCTCCAAAGAGATAGTTGACAGTTGCTTCAGATCTGAGTTTTTACAATAACTTTAACCCTTTTTTATGCATCTACTATACAACGTTGAGCCATAGATCGATATTGTCCGTCTGATAATCTTGTGCTGGACTTATAATGCATAATCACTAATGTTTCTACCTTGATCTTCTTTTCGCTCTTTTCAACAAGATTGTGAACTGTTTGTCGATCCTAAAAATTTTTTCACGTGTTTTCTAGCGTTTATTACACCTATATTTGATGTTTAACCTTTTCAGACGTGATTAAAAAAGTGAAATTGCTATTTTATATTTAAGCTATTTAAACTAAAACACATAAGATCTAATGTTTTCATCAGGGAATCAACAATTCTCGACATACTGCTGAGCTTCAACCCCTCCAACTACGATACAATTAGATAGATAGATAGATAATGATGTTTATTTACAATAAAAATTATATTCACTAATTTCGTGGTCCGCTTGACCAATTAATATATTACAATTAATTAAGGTTTTTAGTTGAGATAAAAAAATCAATGGCACGAGCGGGATTCGAATTGAAAAATGGCAAAAAGGAGGGAAAATTCAAAAGGTGCGGTTGAGATGGGAAGTTGGTGTCCGAGTGGATCGAGGTCACGATTGCTCAAGTAGTAGAGCAGCGGCGTATCAAGCCAAAGATCGTGGGTTCGAATCCCGCTCGTGCCATTGACTTTTGTATCTCAACTAAAAACCTTAATTAATTGTAATAAAAATTATTTTACACAAAATATTCATTACATAAAACATCCTAGACAATAGCCCAAAGGCTGTCTGTCGAGTTGCCAAAAGAAAAACATAGAATAATATGAACGAATACTAATACTAACAATACTAATACAAATAGTTATAATTTACACAATACTTTACTTAATTTAAATTATCGATTTTAGGGAGTACAAAACATAATTGTAGAGACTGTGCCAGTTCTGCCCATTCAAAAATGAAATTACTTCATTATTTTTCTAAAAACAATTTGCCAAACAACCTAATTGTGATTCCTTCAATATAGGGCACACCGCCAAAAAATAGAAGCCATCCTCATACACACCTAAATTACACAAATCACAACGGTACGCTTCCTCATTTCTGTGGACCGAGTAATTAAGAGACAGCAACTTACCTCTTGCTTTCATATCACACTTATCATATTCAAATTATCATTTTTATTTAAATAATGGTGATTTTCTCCTAATTCCAGATTCAGTTTTTTGTATAAACCATGGAAGACAGATCGTTGTGCTCTTAATTTTAGTTGATTTTTAAAATCAGTTCTTAAGTCCTTCACCGACACATATAATGTAATTTTCACTTCCCTGGAAGACGTACCCGTAGTCCCGGCTTCAACATCGGGTGGCGTTGGAAGTGAAGGATGACTCGCTCACGCAGTCCAGACTCCAATGTTGGGCGGTGTTGGTAGTAAAGAAAGAAGAAAGAGAAGATCAAAATAATGCCTCGTTGTGTTGTTTTCAACAGGTTTGTTGTCACCTCTCGGCTGGCCAGCGCTAAACTAAAACTTCTCGTCCGATCATCCTTATCGGAAGGTGGGGGTTATCTCTGATTGCGCCTTAATCCTCTTTTTTCCTGGCAATATCTGCACAGGCTTGTTTCTACCGCTGCGAGTTTATACATATGCCCGCAATATCCAGGCAGTTCACCTTTTATTATAATCCTATCATATCCTAAATTTAATCGTTCTGCCATTACTTTCTGTGATGCCTATATCCTGAGCACAATTCCCATCGAACCGAGGATTTATTTTTAATCCATTGTCTGAGAGATAAACGTTTTGTGGCAGTTGCACAAAAGGGCTCAGGGAAATCGGTGTCTCATCGTAAACTCCATGGCCAATTTATGGGTTTCGTCAATGCTCCTATACCCCGTGCGCTCAGGTACCCTTACAATAATCATTTTGTTATCTCTAATGTTTGACAGGATCTTAATGCGATCCCAAATAACTCTGAACTTTACTACTGATGAGGTCATTACAAGAGTTCTCTTAACAATTCGAAATCATCGCACACATCGAAGAGCCGATGTAGCTAGGCTCACTGTCGAGATTGGGTATAACATGCGACTCGTCTATAACCGCCCCCGTCTCTCACAGCCCCGTACGCCTTTACGAAATTCCAAGGCGCTCCATAGTTCTTTTTTTTTTAACTTTTTATTTGTTTTTTACAACTGCATTCTTCGACGCAACAAGTAAAACGGATAGTATTTACATATAAAATTATTAACGGTAGCGTGAAAGCTTGAACAATTACCATCCAGTGATGGTAGCCGTTAGTTAATCAATACGATGAGCGAGATGTACTCCATCGTAGGAGACCGATGTCAATTGTTAAGGTTGTCGCGGGGCCACCGACGCTTCAGTCTTCTGTTGGGATTATTAGGTAATGTGGTGGATGACAGGTTTTGGACGAAAGGGTCCGGATGATGGAGTAGTTTGGAATGGAACGTTTTGTAGCGGGATTGGGCTAGCTCGGTAACAAAAAGGACATTTAGGTCGGTATGGATGGTGTGATTGGATACATAGAAAGGGGCTTGTACTATTGCTCTGAGGATTTTAGATTGAAGGGATTGGATTCGATTGAGGTTGGAACGCTTAGCAGTACCGTAAAGTTCAAGACCGTATGTCCAAATGGGGGCCAGGAGGGCAATGTAAAGTTTTATTTTGTTTATTAGTGAGAGTTTTGATCGTCTGTCGAGTAGTCGTTTAAGCATGAAAAATCGTATATTACAGTCTGTACGCTTAAGTCGTGTATGGGGGTTCCACGTCAGTCGTTTGTCCAGGAAGAGTCCGAGGTATCGTACTGGTTCGCAATTGGGATGGGGACGTTGTTGAGGTATACTGGTGGGAGTGTTTTCATGTTTAGAGTAAATATTATGTTCGTTGATTTGGTTTCGTTGATCTTGATTCTCCACCGACGTAGCCAGCATTCTAGGGTGTTTAGGTGATTTTGAAGATTACGGGAAGCAGTAACAGGATCTTTATCAGGAGAAAGGATTGCGGTATCATGGGCAAAGGTGAAGGTGATAGTGTTAGGTTGCGTAGGTAGGTCGGAGGTATAAATTGAATAAAGGAAAGGAGCGAGCACACTGCCCTGTGGGACACCTGCAAGAATAGGATGGATAGGAGACAATGAATTCCATAGTTCTAAAATCAATTCTTAAAGCCAACCGAAACCCCGGTAATTGAACATGGTTGAACACCCAAAACGTTCCCTTGGGGTCATACCAAATGGATTTAATTTCATTTTCAGAAAGTCAATTGCATGATACGTTGAACCGGCGTGACAAGAAAGATGGATCCTTCTTAATATGTGATTTTATTTAGGAAAGCAAACCCTTGATGGAAAGCCTTTTCAACATAAAGATATACTCTAATAATTTGTGGTATGTTCTTAATGGTCCATAATTCGATGGACCTGTCATGGGTATTTGTTCGATTTGTTGGAGGGTGTACAGTTATATTATTATTTTATTATTTTTTAAGGGTTTTGTAAACGTATTTGTAAATTAAATGTCAATAATAGTGTTTTCATGAAATAATAATAGTCGTTTGCCATTATCGCATTATATATAGTAGTTATTTTAAGGAATTACACAAAATCTCTCACAGCGTACGATATATCAATCAAATTTATACGGTTTTGGCAATCGACAATTAATATTACGGGGGATCGAATTTTATCTAATAACAAAGGAAGTAAATATCCGGGTAGTCTGAAAGTGCCTCGAGGGCTGTAGTCGCCTCGAGGATGAACAGTTGAGTTGGCCGTTTTGAAAGGGCGTGATTTGGTGAAGCCGCCGTGGGTGGGCGACGTGATAAAACTGTACATACAAGGGATTGACGACTGAGCCCGGAGGGATTGTTTGTCATCATCGATTCAACTCGAGGCCGAAAATTGATTTCCATCATACCAAATTTATTGTCTTTTCATGTAAAACCAAAAGAATAATTATTATAAGAGGGAGCTGACGTTTGATTTTTAATCATAATTATGTGTATTTATTATGGATGGGAATAGATGATAGCCTGGATCTGTCTGGTGCATATAACAGGTGTGATAATAAAATCCGAACTATCCGGTGCTGGACGACCCAATAACAGGAATTACTGGGAAAAATTTGTTCATCTCGACCAAAAAATAGCTCCAGGAAATGATTTAATCACAAATGAAGGTTTTACAAAATCTTTCGATTAATTTTTTTGTTGGTTTTTAGTTGAGATAAAAAAAGTCAGTGTCACGAGCAGGATTCCGAAATAAAAAGGTGGGGTTGAGATGGGATGTTTGTGGATCGAGGTCACGATAGTTCATGTAGAAGAGAAGTGGCGTATCTAGCCGAAGGTCGTGGGTTCGAATCCTGCTCGTGACACTAATTTTTCATTTCAACCAATGTGGTAAATCATAACTGCTAATTGCTTTGTCTTATATTAAAGTTTTGTCCTAAAAATTATTTTTGTTTGCTTATTTTCAAAAGTACCATTTTTTTATTCATTCAGAATCAATTATTGATGGAATATGCAAAGCTGCGGAAAAAGGTACATTGCTAATAATATTTTACCAGTATACTCTCCAAAGGCCGCTATCTAGCCGACAATCGTAGGTTCGAATCCAGCTCGTGACACTGACTTTTTTTATCTCAACTAAAAACCTTAATTAATTGAAAGATATTAATTGGTCAAGCGGACCACGAAAACTAGTGAGTTTTCCAAAATATCCCACTACATGTTCACACTATCTGTTGAACCTATTCAACGAATTTTTTTCTTCGGAAACCATACCTTCTCTTGGACAACAGGAAATTCAGGTTCGTGATTCACTGATTTGGACCAAACTTTTTTCGTGATGCTGCACTTCAAAATTTCAAGTATCCGCCCCCCTGGTTCAAACATTTTTTTGAAATTTATGTTTTAGTGGACAATTGATGAAGTTATTTCTTTCAATTAATTATTCTTTTTATGTAGGGTCTTGGTTGAGATAAAAAAGTCGGTGTCAAGAGCGTGATTCGAACCCATGACCTTCGGCTAAATACGCCGCTGCTCTACCACTTGAGCTAACGTGACAAGTGGTAGAGCAGAGGCGTATTTAGCCGAAGGTCGTGGGTTTGAATCCCGCTCTTGACATTGACATTTTTATCTTAACCAAGACCTTACATAAAACGATTTTTTTTTTTTTTTTAACTGTGTGGTATTAATGACGGTTAGCCAATACTTATTAGGAGATCGCGAGGTGCGGCCTGGTGTGATGCAGGTTTTAGAAAAACAGTTTCTTTATAATGCCAACGTTTCGATCTTTATTGAGATCATCTTCAGGGCCTGAGATTTATAAACATTGTTATCATTTTACAAATATATGTAGGATATGAAAAAGAAAAAATGAATTTAACAATGCTAGAAAATTTAAAAAAAAATGAATTTGTACAATGCAAGAAAATTTTAGATTAAAAATAAATTGAATTTATACAATGCTAGAATTTGTTTTAATCTAAAATTTTCTAGCATTGTATAAATTCATATTAATATTTTTTTTATTTTTTAGCATTGTATAAATTCTATATATATTTTTATTGGGATCATCTTCAGGCGTGGGATTTATAAACATTGTTTAAATTTTACAAAAATTTATTTTTTTCACACCCAATATGTATTTGTAAAATTTAAACAAACTTTAAAAATCCCAGGCCCTGAAGATGATCTCAATAAAGATCGAAACGTTGGCATGATAAAGAAAATGTTTTTCTAAAACGTACGTCACACCAGACCGTACTCACGATCTACAAATATTAATTTTTTTTGAAAGTTTAAATTTTCGTTGTTTTTTTTTTTTTGTATTTCTAATATTTTTATTCTCTACTTGCTCAAATCAACTAAGTGAATGTATCATTTTATAGCATTTATTGTGTAGATTGCAATAAAACTGTAGTAAAAGCTATTAACGTTTGGAAACCCCCCCCCCAAAAAAAAAACAGATATTGTTCAAGTAAACTAGGTGATAATTTTTTTTCGTAAAACTAATATGACATTTTGTTTTAGCAACTATAGAGAGACCATTAAATATAAATGTAGAGTTACTAATTTGGTAATTTAGAGGCACAAATAAACGTTCACTAAATATAAATTTTTGCTTGGATTAAAAGTTATCGATTTTTTTACCCCATACATTTTTTAGCGACATTTAAATTCTTTTCGTAGGAATAAGGCCAAATTAATTTATTTACATGAAGTCCACACTAAACATTGATACTGTGAACCACCTTATGATGACGAAAGTACAAAATTCCCGGATTTTCCACTGCCTACGTTCGAAATTTCAACGGGTTTGTATGCCATTAAAGGTGGAAGAAAGTTTTCTTCAGCCTCCCAAAACGACATTTGTACCAGGAACTTAATTGCCTGTCATAATCAGGGTACTGATGTCTTTGGACAATATGAGAGCATTATGTATTCAAATTGTAAGTCCGGAGTACACCTATAAATTAAAACACTTCCAACATTTTAGAGACGGGAATTCGGATTCGCGATGAAAAAGTTGTTTTTATATAACTACCTCATTGTTGAC